TAAGTGCTGAGAATCCAAATATAAGCAGAAAGACAGTCCCCGCCCTCAAGGAGCTTACATTCTAGCACATGTCCCTTTGCAGAGTGGTTTAGATGCATCACTTCATTTGATCCTTATATGGGCTAGATACTACAGTTATCAGTCTCCTCATCTTACAGATGAGGAGATTGATGCTCAGAGAAGTTAAATGAGTAGCCCATGGTTATTCAGTAAGAAGTTTCAGGGGTGGAATTCAAATCCATGTCATAGTGAATTCCAAGTTCACTACATCACGCTGTCTCCCTGATTGTGACATTCTAGTGGGAGGACTGGCAGGACTTTCCAGGGACTTCAACTCATGTCAGGTAGCTGAGAGTCTGTTCTATCTGCAGATTAAACTTGGTACTAGAACTTCAGGACAAAGCTGAAAGGAAGTGGGATAATTGAGTGCAACATAGTCAAAACAGATTCCTTCAGTGCTATTATCTAATTCCCAAAGAGTCTTAACTCTAGGCTGGGTACTGATAGGTTTTTTAATTTTTTTTTTGTGCCTTATCTTGCCCCAAACCAGGCCTCCAGACTACTTCTTGGCTACATATGTATATATCATGTTGCCTCATTCCCACATCTATCCCAATGAAACCCTGCCTCTGTGACAATGGGCTTTGATAGGTGATCTTTCACCTTTTCATGCCTGGAACCAGGCCTCCACACGCCACTTTCCAGTCATCTCCCCACTTTGCCTGAGGATGTCTCCATCCATTACTTTATAACTCACCTTTATGAGTTATCTTTCCCCATTGGGATGAGGTCAGAAATTGTTTTGCTTTTATCTTCAGAGCTTAGCATAGTGCTTGACACAAAATGAATGTTTTACAGAAATAGATAGCACTTATATAAGTGCTTTAAGGATTGTAAAATGCTTTGCAAACCATCTCATTTAATCCTCACAATGACCTTGGAAGTTAAGTGCTATTATTATCCCCATTTTATGGATGAAGAAACTGAGGCAGACTAAGGCTAAATGGCACACAACTAGTATCTAAGGCAAGATTTGAACTCAGATTTCCCCTGTTGCTTCTACTATCCATCCATGCATCCTTCCATCTTTCTCTTCATTTCTCATCAGATTTCTTTCTAGACTTCTCCACTAGGCCCCAGTAACCTCTTCATCCCAGATCATTTCAACCCTGCACTTCATTTCACAGAAGTACCCTCTGCCTCTGTGACACCTCCCTCTGACTGCATGGCCCCTCTCAGAATCTCCATTCAAGAAGGGCACCCAGGCCAGCAATCTCTTCATTTGTCATCAGGCTAAAATTCAGACTAGGTACCTTCCCCCACCCTGCTCCCCTCCTACTCTCACCTAGCCCCTGCCCCAGCTTCCTTTATGTATAGTCTTTCTCTGTGAGAATGTAAGCTCCTTCAGGGCAGAGACTGTCTTTCTTTTTGCTTATATATGTATTCCCAGGACTTAAGATAATGTCTGGCACATAGCAAGCAATTGATAAATCATCCAATCCAATAAATCTTTATTAAGCACTTGTCTGGCACTGTGCTAAGCATTGGAGATACAATTAATAAAAAGAAAGAAAGTCTTTGCCCTCAAGGAGCTTACAATCAAATGGGGGAGATAACACACAAAAGGAGCAGGAAAATGAAGAAGTAGTTAGAGATCCAGGGACATTTTATTCAGTAGAATTGAAACCAGGCACAGCAAAACATAGAGTGGAGTGGGCCAAAGCATCCAGTTTCTGCCATCTATTAAAAACAAAACAAAACAAAACAAAAAAAAACATAGGGAGGAGTGCGGTATCCTACCCTCAAGCCATCCAATCAGAGGGGACAGAAATCTGAAGGAGGTAGTGTCAAACCAAGGCTTGAGTAAGCAGCCTGGTGAGGAAATTAGAGATGATGAGCTTAACCTGGGAGGGTCACCTTGTTCCTTAGAGTTGAAACCAGGCAGAGCATCTATCACACAGTCTTTAACATACAATTAGTCACAGACTCATTAAATAGTAGTTTTTGTGCCTGGGACCAAAAGCATAAAACAGGAACTAATCAAAATTTAAAAACAAATGCATTTGAGCTGGATAGAGGGGGAAGAGATCTTCAGATCCTTTTCTGTTGTAAAGGAAAGAAATATGCCTTTCCATAACAATGTGAGACTGTTGCTAGGTAGGCCTACAGGGATGGGGAGAACGGGAGGGCATAAGGAGCAATGCGTTCCATCTTCTACAAGTCCCTACCCCTACAGCTCCTTACCCTCTCCTCTTCCTCCAAACCTTTAGAAGCTCCTGCTTCCCTGCAGGTCTGCTTTTCTTGACTGAGGAGTGTGCACAGCGATCCAACCAGAAAGTCTATTCAAATGTTAATCCACATTTAACTAAAGTCTGGTTTTTGTCTTCAGTAACAACACTGACCTCAACACCATCCATCCACATTCCCCCTACATATTGTATTTGTGCAAGAAGTCTAACATCAGTTTCTTTATTTAGAGTACCAGTTAAGAGATAAGTATTCTTTTAACTAAATGTTCAAAATTATTAAGTTTGGTACTTGAAACTCATTCACTTTTCTCCCAATTACAAAGTGAGTCTCTGTGAATATAATACAAGTAATCCCTTTCTAGGAAAAACCATTCTATTTATTGGCAAGAACCTTTATATAATGCTTGATGACGCCCCTCTGGGAAGGACAAGCTGAATTGGCAGGATGAGGTTTACTTAACCCTCCCTACTCAGTAGAAGCAATGAACCTAAGGGCAATTTGCTTTTGTGAGTTGTTGTTATTGTTCAGTTGTATCTGATTCTTTGTGACCCCAGTGAACCGTAATATCCATGGTGTTTTCTTGGCAAAGATAATGTAGTGGTTTGCCATTTCTTTCTCCAGTGGTTTAAGGCAAACAGAGATTAAATGACTTGCCCATGGTCACACAGCTAGTAAGTGCCTGAGGCTAGATTTGAACTCAGGTCTTCCCAACTCCAGGCCTGGCACTCCATCTACTGCACCACCTACCCGCCAAAAAAAAAAAGATTTACTTCTATGTAGTTGATTAGGAGTTTAATTTTAACTTTGTCATCACACGATCACCATATAAATGGGTTTTCAAGGACAATAATGATTCCAACATGCTTTTTCTGAGGCACGTTGGCCTCTTCTGTCAATTCACTTTTCTCAATCGTGATTATCAGTTACCCACAAGGTGTGGCAGTCCCAAACCAGACCTTCATTAGTCACAAAATACTAAGTAGAACCTCCTAGTTATAGTTTTTAAGTCAAGAAGAATTATTTGGGAAGGAAATAAGGCAACCTGACAAATGTCAGCCTTTAAATGCACACTTTCTGTCAAGCATGGATCATTGAAGGCTCTGCTAACAGAAATTTTAAAAAAGTTGACAGGTTCTTCTAAACTGGAATGATTGGAGTACAGGCTCAGAAACATATTGTGTATCTGTTGTCAGAGGAGAAGCTTAGCAAAGTCAGAGAGGCTTGTCTATCAACTCAGAGACCACCCCCTAAGATGTGAAGGGGCTACATTTTGGGTCAGTGGGGGAGGTGCCCATGCTGATGAAATCTTGAATTCTAACACTAAGAGCAACAAGAGAATAGAAAGACAGCATAAAGAATAAAGGCTGTAATCATCCAGAGCTTCTCTGGATATAACAGTGATAGACAACCCATCATGGCATACTCTGAATCCAAGAATGGTTTTAGAATTTAAAGAATTTTGTGCAGACATATGGTTCAAGAAGTTCCCAGTGAGAGTCTCTTGATGCAGATCAGTAATTATTTAGATTTAGTAATTATTACTTAGAGTCTTAGAGGGTTGTTTGAAGTATAACAAGGTAAAGTGACTTGCCCAAGGTCACACAGCCAGGCTGCATTAGAGGCAAGATTCAAACTTGAGTCTTCTTGCCTCTGAAGCTAACTTTTTATCCACTACCCCAGAGTTCCTTTTGATGTTCATCTTTATCGAGAAAGACTTCCTTTGAGGCATTGGACCAATGTATCTGCCCTTTTGGTAATAGCTAATGACAATCAGGAGGTTATGAAAGGAATGATGTCAACCACAAAATGACCACAGAAGCTGATTAGGGCATCCCCTACCACAGACCACCAAATGTCTGAATAAACTTTCCTACTGCCAAGGCAATATTCAGAGTCACTCAGCTATCCAAGTTTCTCTATTTCCCCCAAAGAAATTATGGGATGCTCACTTATTCAGAAAAAGACCACTATTGTGGCCAGAGGTTTTGTAGGAGGAAGAAAATAATTTTGTGGAAGAGAATATAGAAGAGCTGTGTTGAGGTGGTAGAGACTATAGGATTATGAAAATTATTGCTAGACATCTATTTGAGGAAGTGCATTGTGTAGCCCTGTGAAACATGCTTCTTTCTGCTTGCCTGGAGTGTGTTAGTAATGAAACTTCTTAAGATGTACCATTAACATTTTCAGTATCTATTTTACTTTGCTGCCTCAACTCCACTATAGCAGAGGTTTTAAAGTCTGGAATCAATGAATTCCCATGGGCTCTACAGAGAGAATTTTTGAGGATTAGAGGTCTGTGAATTTAGAACATCTTTATTTCCACTAATCTTTGAAATTTTGTATTTCCTTCAATTATTTAAAAACATCATCATTCTGAGGAGTCCATGGGTCTCATCAGACTTCCAGTAGTCTATGCCATAAAAAAAAAAGGTTAAGAATCCATGATCTGTTGGATAGAACAGAAGAAAGTCAGGACCAAAGTTTGGGTTCAAGGATTATCAAAACCTAGTGAGAATATTGAGTTTCTGAAATGAAGAGCAAGACCTGTCTGCTTAGGTGTACTTTCTAACAATCACTCAGCCTAAGCTACTATGCTATAAATACAGTCACTTCCTAAAACAATCCAGCCAAGTTACTTTGTGAATCATGATGTGAATGAACCAATCCTTCTTTCATGTTATTCCTGTCCTCCCCCTCTCCCTCCCATGAAGAAAATAAGAATAGCAGGGATAGCTAGAAATACCACTCACCACAATAATAACATTTGCTTCAGGGATTGGAAGGTTTTCCACTTCCAGATCTTGACCAGTCATTGCTAACAAGTTGAGAGATGGATCATAGGCAGGTCTAGGAAATGTGGACTTAACAATTATGCCTGGGTGTCGTTTGCTTGTTTGCATATGAGAAGGGGAATGGAAGCTGTGTTGCTTATATGTTTTTTCATGGCTTGTGTCCAAGTTCTTCTCAATAGTTTGCACGTGGTGGTAGATAAATATAGGCTTCCCACTCTTCCTCGGATGAATTGCCAAGAGGTGGTCGCTATCTCCTGAAAAGCATCCTACAGGGAAAAAGGAAAGAGATAGGAGTCAGAAATCTTATTGATATAGATGGACAGATCTATCAGATAAAACGTTTGCGTCCTCCCAAGAAGTCTCATGATTCCTAAAAAAAAAAATTTCTGGTTTTACAAAATATAATACAGGCACATAGCCTCCTTAGCAGCACAGGGTCTTACTTGGTAAACTCCCTATGTCCAAAATCAGTTGACAAGTCACATTAATTCTATCTCTACAATATTTATTAAGTACCTGCTTTGTGCCAGAAACTGTGCTAAGGTGTTGTTTTTCCTTAGTTTTTGAAGTGGACCAATGATATCATGCAGTGATGTTTTGACTTTTGCATGGATTGGATTTAAGTGAGGCAGTGTTGCACAAAGTTGTCAGCCTCACTCTCTTCCACAGTCATCAAAGTCCAATGGCTAGAGAAAAGTCAGAATGACTGGCAATGTCCTGGGATGCAGTGGATGACCTTGGCATCTTCAATGTCTGACCAGACTCTAAGTGCTCCACAGCATCTACCTAAGTCTCCTTCATGGGTGTCAGAATAAATTGTTCTCATCTGCCCATTCCACCAAGGGAAGTCTTCATGTGCTTGGGGTAGACATCCCTCTAACATGTCAATGGATTTGAGACATGTTGGTTGCCCTCAACCTGATTTAGCCTGTCTACCAAGATGGATTTTATTGGGGTGTGGCTGCTATGTATGCTACAGCTTCTTGGAGCTACAGGAGAGAGTTGGGTGACTGGTTGGATACCAAAGGTGAATAAGCAGCCCTGAAAAGGGCTCAGCAAACCCTCATACCAGAGGTACTAGCTCTCCCCTAATACATTATACCATATTACAAATATTATCTCATTTCCTCTAATATTATCTCATTACCTCTAGAATCAAATATGAACTTCTCTAGCATTCAAAACACTTAACAAACTGGCTCCAACCTACTTTTTAAGCTTATTTCTTATTATTCCCCTTAATGGCTCCTATAGGACAGTAAAACTGGACTTCTTACAGTTTCTCATACATGATAATCCTTTATCTCCACAAATTTCTCCTGAGGCTATGTTAAGTGCTGGGCATAAAAAGAAAGGCAAAAGCAGGGCCTTGCCCTCAAAGAGCTTACAATCTAATGGGATAAGACAACACATAAAAAGAAGCCAAAACAGAGAAGGGCATCCCATGACATGGAGGCATGCTGAACTCAAAGACTAGTGAATTGCACCCGGGTGGGTAATGATAAGCTGGCTAGCCCTGGTGGAAGATCCAGCAGAAGCTCTCCAGTGTCCACTCCCCACCCTCTCCAATCAGAAGGTACCAATCAATACCCCTAGATATACACACCTATGTGGGAAATGATGAGATGGCATTCATGAGCACCCTCCAGGATCTAGGAGGAGCTCTCCACAAATATCTCACTTTTGTCTCTTTCCCTCTATTCACATAGCCACCACTCCAGTTCAAGGCATCATCACTTCTCAGAAAGATTATTGCAATAACTTCCTAATTGGTCTCCCTTCTTCCTCCTAATAAATCTCAACACAACTGCTAAATCCATATTCCTGAAGTGCACATCTAGCCATGTCACTTCCCTGCCCAGGAAACTTTGGTAGGTCCTAACTGCCCCTAGAATAAAATGCAAATGTATTTAAAGTTTAAAGTTTCCTTCTTAAAATATAAGCATTTAAAGTGCTTCACAGTTTGGCACTGATTTTACATTATTCTCAATCATACCTATGTTCAGGTCAAACTGTCCAAATTACTGTTTCTCATCCATGACATTTGATCTCTCATCTCCATGCCATTGTTTAGATCATCCCATATCCTAGAGTGTTCTGTTTTCTCACATCTGCCTTTTGGAACCCCTAACCCTAACTCCTATGAAACCTAGACAGTCCACTACTGCCATGCCAGGAAAATCAATAGCTTCCGTTTGAATTGTCCTGGCAGGATAAGATACCAGACACTGAGGTCCTTTTTCAAACTAAACTGCCAAGCATTCAAACTCTACTGCAGAGTGTGCAACTCTGATGGGCTGGCCATGTTTTTTAAATGCCAAAAGCATGTTTGCCCAAAAGACCATTTTACAGAGAACTCACACAAGGCAAGTGCTCACATGGAGGTCAGAAGAAGTGATGCAAGGATACTCTCAGGGTCTCTCTGAAGAGCTTTGAAATCGATTTGAGACATGGGAGACACTGCCACAGGACTGCCAAGCCTGAAACGCATGCATCAAAAAAACACCGTGCTTTATGAGTAAGGTAGAAATGCAGGAGCTCAAAAGTAATCTGAGATGGGCAAATTTAAAGATATCTCCACTTCAAGTGTTCATATGGATTATTTGTGCCTGACACATGGTAGGGCCTTCCAAGCTTGCATTGATCTAATCAGCCACAGTCAGAAACACTGTGCCTTGGCCCCAACATGGTCATGTCATTTCGGTCCTCTTGGATAACAAAGAAAAACTAACCACCAGCTCAACTACCATCTCTTTCAAGAGATCTTTCTTGTTTTCACCCAGTTATCAGTGTTCCTTCCCCAAGTATTTTGATTGACTTTCATTTATTTATATATTTGTATTTTCTAATTTGTGTACATATTTCCCCATGGTGCAACAGACAGTTTTTAAGAGCAGGGATTATTTTGTTTTGTCTTTCTATATCCTCAGCATCTAGCATTTGTCTAGCACACAGTAGGGACCCAATAAATGTTTGCTGAATTGAACTGAATTGAGATTAGAGACTGTCATATATCTTTGCATCTCCCTCAACATCTAGAAAAACATATTACAACTTTAATATATGGTGTGCTGAATGAACAGAGCTGAAACCACTTTATTTCTTTAAATAGTTCTCTTTAAATAATTCTCTTTAAATAGTTACTTTAAAGATTCTACTTGAAACTTCCACTTGAATAACTTTAGTGACTTTTCTGCAGGAGAGCTCATTATTTAACAAGTAAACCCATCCACTTTCAAACAATTCTAATTGTTAATAAATTTGTCTTTATATTAAACTGAAGTTGGCCTCTCTGCAATTCCCACACATTTTGCTGTCAGCAGGCAAGTGGGAATAAATAGAATCTATCCTTCACATGACAATTCTTCAAGTATTTGAAAATTATCGTATCTAATCCCCTTTCCCAAATCTCTCCTCTAGGCCAAATATTTACAATTTCTTCAACCAATCTTCACAAGGAGGAGGAGGAGGAGGAGGAGGAGGAGGAGGAGGAGGAGGAGGAAAAAAAAGAAGAGGGGAAAAAAGAAAGAAAGAAAGAAAGATCAATGACCCATTTTATAAATATACAAAAGAGAAAAGAAGAAAGTTCAAAAAGGGACAGAAAAGTAAAGAAGACTTGGTATTATTTTGCTAAATATCTTTTTTTTAATTTTTAAAACATACTTAGTAGAAATTTAGAGTTCCATGTGTAATCCTCTTTTTTGATATTTTGTAGATTCAAATGCTCTTGTTTGTTGATGTTTCTTAAGTTTATAATTTTTAAAAATTGAAAACAAAAGAATTGCACACTAGAAGTTGGCATTAAAAAATCCACAAAATTTCCTATCCATATTTGGGGAGGTGTAGTACTATATATATGGTGGAGGGTTGTGAATGTTCCACTTTATGGATGTATTGGTGAGCATTGCCTCCTCTTTTTTTATTCTTTGTTATATGCCATGAAGACATGAGAGAGAAAGTGAGGGGAGAGGGATATATTAGGAAATGAAAGTGATGTGTAAACATGATATCAACATTATTTTATTTTTAATCATATTTAATTTTTTCCCAATTACATGTCAAGGCAATTTTTAGAATTCATTTTTACCAGTTTTTGAGCTCCAATTTTTTCTCCCTCCCTCCCCGCTCCTCTTCTGAAAATGGCAGGTTATGCATGGTTTGATATAGGTTATACATATGCTATCATATAAAACATGTTTCCACATTAGTCAATATTGTGAAAGAAAAAAACATGGAAAAGAATGAAGTAAGTGAAAATATATGCTTCCATCTGCATTCAGAGTCCATCAGTTCTCTTTCTGGATGTGGATAGCATTTTCCTTCATTATTCTTTTGTACTTGTCTTGGATCATTGTATTGCTGAGAAGACCTGAGTCATTTATAGTTGATCATCACACGATGTTGCTGATACTGTGTGCAATGTTTTCCTATTTCTGCTCATTTCACTTTGCATCAGTTTGCACAAATCTTTCCAGGTTTTTCTGAAATTTGACAATTCATCACTTCTTATCACACAATAGTATTCCATTATATTCATATACCACAGCTTGTTCAGCCATTAACAAAAAGCTTCCCCTCAATTTGTATTATTTTGCCACCACAAAAAGTACTGCTATAAATATTTTTGCACATGTAGGTCCTTTTCTCTTTCTATGACCTCTTTGGGATACAGACATAGTAGTGGTATTGCTGGATCAAAGAGTATGCACAATTTGGCTGCCCTTTGGGCATAGTTCCAAATTGCCAGAATGGTCGGATCAGTTTACAACTCCACCAACAAGGCATTAGTGTCCCAATTTTCCCACATCTTACTCAGCATGCATCATTTTCCTTTTCTTTCATATTAGCCAATCTGACAGGTGTGGGGTGGTACTTCAGAGCTGTCTTAATTTGCATATCTCTAATCAAAAGTGATTTAGAGCACTTCTTCCTGTGCATATAGATAGCTCTTGTTTCTTCATCTGAAAATTGCCTGTTCATATTCTTTTACCATTTGTCAATTGGGGAATGGCTTGTATTATAAATATGACTCAGTTGTCTATATATTTGAGAAATATATAGACACACACTTGCTGTAAAGATGTAAAGATATTCCCCCAGCTTTCTGCTTTCCTTCTAATCTTGGTTGTATTGCTTTTATTTGTACAAAAGCTTTTAATTTTAATATAATCAAAATTATCTATTTTAACATTTCATTATGTTCTCTTTCTCTTGTTTGATCATGAATTCTTCCATTCCCCATAGATCTAACAGATGGACTATTCCT